CTCCCACAGCCCATGCAGTCCCTTTTCAAATGGCAGCACCATCGTCTAGTCAGAGGAGAGATGAAAGGAGAGGTGGGATTTTGTTTTGCCAGCCCTCTAGCCATTCTGGGCTCACGTGGGAGGAAGGTGGTAAAGACCCAGTTTCTCCTGTTGGCCCAACCAGGGCTGATTAAGCTTTTGTGGGCTCGGGGCCCTAACATATTTGTGGGCCCCCTGGAGGCAATAGAGCATGGCACAGGGAGGTCAGTCCCTAGAGCGAGGGGCCAGCCAGAGTCAATGGAGCATGGCATGACAGGGGCAGCCCAGCTCCAGCCAGCCCAGTGCGAGGGCGCTACTTATAAACCGGCAGTTGCCAGATGCACAGTGGCCCGCCTGGCCCTGTGCTGCCAGCATGCCCCTTCCCCTCAGGGGTGGGCCCATGCCACGCCACACCCCAGCCCAACAACTCCCCAACTCCGTATGGCCAGAGCCCCCCCCGCAGACCCACTATGCCCAGTGCTCCCCCAACCTCCCCCAGAAATGCATAGCGCCCTGCACACCACCACCCCTGCCCAGCCCCACCCACAGAACCCCCACTCCCTAGTGCCCCAACACACACAGATTCTCCCCACCCCTTCACAGCCCAGCACCCCCACCCCAAGCCCCCCAGAGACCCACTCCCCTTCACCCTGCCTCCCAGCCCCACTCACTGGCCCTGCTGGGAGGCGACTGTGTCTGCCAGGCTGTGCCAGCAGCACAGCCAGGGCTGGTCCCAGGGCCGGGAATCGCTCCAGCCCCTCGGGAGTGGCGCGATCAGCCAGGCCAGGGCCTGCCCCGGCCAGGATCCCTCAGGACGCACTTGCCTGGAGGGGCCCAGCCAAGCCCCCCACATTGTCATCCCCCCTGTCCCAGGTTGAAACTGGCCAGGCTTCTGCACCAGTCCCAGGCGGCTCAGCTCTGGGGAGACAGGCAGGGCCCCACAGGTGGTGGGAAGCAGAGACTGCCCGGAGCCGGAGGTGCACTGGGGTCTGGCCATGGGGCAGAAAGGAGCAGGGGGCGGAGGGGCCAGGGGGCGGAGAGGAGCCCTTGGCTAGCCGGCGGGCAGGCAGGTGGTGGGGGAGGAGCAGGGTCTTGGGGCACAGTGCATCGGAGCAGGCCAGGGCCCCTTCTGAGCATGGGCCCGGCTCCGTGGAGCCAACCACAGTCAGGAATCCTGGGCCAGCCCACATAGCACTGCCGCTGGTCTGTGGAGTGATTCCAATCTACCCTGCCCTCCCACGTCTCTGCTCTATCCTCCCCAACAAAACTGTCTCCCCATAACCGGTTCTTGACCCCAAACACTGGTTCTTTTCTACCTCATTTGTCTAGCTTCCTCCTTTCCTAGTTTCCGCACTGTGCTTGGTACTCACCTTCCCCCACTTTTCCCTACTCAGTCTGTTTCCTCTTGCCTATCCCTCTGCCTGATTTTCTTCCATTCCCGGTTCTTCCTCCCTTCCTTGGACTAATTATCTCGACCCAGTTCCTCTTCCCGCTTTCTGCCTGACTGTCCCCACCCGGTTTCACTCCCTCCTTTTCCGATTCCTCCTTTGCTCTGGCCAATGACTCAGCCTGGCCGCTAGTGTCACTGTCTAATACCTGATCTTAGCTGTGCACTAAGGTGGATCATTTCATGATTTAGCATGACTCAGCACCTAAGTTCCCTCTAAGCTGCGTGGCCAGACAGCCGCCCAGCAGGCTATCAAGTACTGTGCACTTCAGGTGTCCCTCCCCCCACTGCCACATTGCTCCTGCACTCTGCCTTGGAGCCCTTGGCCAGCTGCTCCCGGGAGCCTCCTGTTTGCTGTGCAGAGCGGGGAGGAGGGAGGGTAGGGCGCTGATGTCAGGGTATCCCCCTGCACCCCATCTCCACAGAGCAAGGGCGTGGAGGACACGACAGGGCTCAGGATGGAGGGAGCTTGCTGGCAGCTGTTGTTGTGTCTGAACAAGACTGCTGGGTGCAGATCTACTTAAAAGGGCAAAGCGTCTCTGTCACACACAGTGGCACACTGTCTCTGTTTCTCTCTCTCTCTCTCTCTCACTCACTCACACACACACACACACACTTTCACACTCACCTCCCAACACATACTTGTTTTATTGTTGTTGTTACTTGATGCTTCTTTCGAAGTGTGTTGTTTTCATTTTTTTGACTAGTCTCCGTGTAAGGGGACTGTTGGCCCCTTACTAACACTCTGTGGGGGTGTTTTGGTTGGCTAGCTCCCAGTACCAAAAGAAAGAGGAAGGGTCAATGGGGAATCAGGACCCTGAGACTGACAGTCCCCAAGAACAATGGGGAGAGGCCAATGCTCCAGGTCAGCCTGATTGACAGGGCGGGCAGGCTAATCAGGGAGTCAGGAGGCCAGGGGGGTCCCATCTGCTGTGTGAGCTGGAATTGCCTGGGTCAGACAGAGTGGAGCAGAGCTAAGGAGAGAGAAAGGGCCCAAGCTGAGCTGGGGAACAGAGCCAGGCCAGCCAGAGGGGCCAGAAAAGCAGCCCAGGAAGCAGGTCAGTGCTGCGAGCAGAGTTACAGAAGCAGCCCAGAGAGTAGACCTGTGCTGGGGGCAGGGCTGCAGCAACCAGAGCCGGGGTGGGGGCTGGGGGCAGAGAAGCAGCCCAGGGAGCTGGAGGCAGAGCCGCAGCAGCAGCGCTGAGGCAGAGTGGAGTTGGGCTGGAGCAGTCCGGAGCCAGGTGCGGTGAGCTGCTGGGGAGAGCGAACCTGGGCAGCGGGCCCAGCGCAGGGAGACGCCCCCGCCAAGATGCCTTGCAGGCCGGACTTGGAGGGAGATCATAACCCCGACGGGGCGGGGGCGAGGCTGGGAAGAAGGGTCCTGCCTCCTAGAACCTGAGTGCGTGTCGCCACCACCAGAGCAAGTGTCCGACCCGCAGCGTCTCTGCAGCACAGCCAGGGCCTGAGAAGGAGGCCTGGGACTTGTGAGGAACAGACTGAACTTCCCTTACATTCCAGAGACACTGGTTGTGATGTCCCCGTGCTACAGAGCGGGGTGATGTGTTTTCCTTTCACCTTTCCCATTTTTTCCTTATTTTTAAAAATTAGTTGCTGTTTAATAAAGTGTATTTGCTTTGCGCCGTATGTAATGATCAGTGGGTCAGGGAAGCATCCAGTGCAGAGAGAGCACCCCAGAGCGGGGGACACCCTAGCCCCTGCCCTAAGTGACCATGACAAGGTTGGGGGTCGAGCCTCCCAGGAATCCTGGGCCCAGCCTTGTTGGGGTTACGAGGACTCGGCCACACAGGAGAGTGGAAGGGGAGCCCTTGCGGTCAGGCAGGCCGCTGAATAAAGGAAGTGGGAGCGAGGACTCAGCTCCTTTCACTAGCTCATTTCACGGGGGTAGTGTATAAGCCAGGAAAGTTCCCCACAATAGTGGGACCATTCCCCCGCTCACATATGCATTTCATAATTTTTATTTCTCTCTTACACTTAAATTTAATTCTTTGAGGTGTGAGTTCTAAAATGCCTAACCTGTCCTGGCTGGAGTAATTATCCCTAGGGTAACTTTTAAAAAGTATTTATTATATCTTGGTTTTTTGTCTCTACGGGTGGCGCACATCCGCACATTATCTCAATATGGTGCACATAAAATTCATTCTGCACACGGATGGAAAAAATTAGAGGGAACACTGCTTAGCACTCTCCTAATGATATCGTGTTTTAGGAACTATTCTATAGTTCTCATTTCTTATTGTGGGTTTATTGGCGTGCTAAGTATGGAATAATGGCAGTGACTGGTACAAGCCTTTATCATTAACATGCTTTTTTTTAAAATAGATCTAGTTTTTCATTATTAATCTTTATTTTATTTCTTTTTTTCCCTCTTTATATTTTGAGATTTATAAAAGGCAATTCAGTTATGCAGATACATAAATTACCACATAGTTGTCCACCTTTTTGAATTTGCCAAAAGTATAAAAAAAAGTCTGTAGTTCTCATGATTAAAAAGATAACCTTTAAAATAAGAATTGAACATAAAATGATGTCTGCTTGCATCTGCAGACAGTTTGAAAAAATAATTCTACTCCCATTAAAGCTCACTGGGGTTTTGATGCTGGAGACTAATGAAGATAGTCAATAATATAATTCAAAGGATTTCATTGCCCATCATTTTAGCAGAAACATTAGGATAAGGTGCTTATCACTCATTATTGGATGTGGCAGGGACAGGGTGCAGTGGGGCAATGACCTGATGTTAAGGTTCACTGGGATGAAGAATGAAGAATTCAAAACCCTCTCCCAAATTTAGTCACCTCCTGTTCTTGCCCAACATAATCTCCAGTGCAGTTGCGCATTTTCAACACACAAACCTGCAGTACATTGATAGTTTAGTGGCAGCATAAAATACATTTAACGTGAAAATAAATTACAATGGACATTGTGCTGACTGGTAGAGTGGTTCTGTTTCATGAAAGATATTGAAATTTGGCTTCATTCTGAATTGGAACAAAACCTGAAAATTTTGAAATTCTCCATGAAGGAAAATTCTGGGGAGGAAAAAATCATTTTGGGTCAATTGAAACATTTTAATTTTGACTTCTATTTTGGATTATATTATAATCTATAATACTAATACTCTAAAATAAACAATTCAAAACAAAAAGTCGTTTCAAAACAACAAATCAAAAAGTTTAATTCCCAAAGTATCAACATTGTTGGAACTCCCCCATCCCCCCGAGTTCTGAAACAAAATTCTGGTGAACTGACCCAATTTCACAAAGCATTTTGATTTCAACGGCACATTCTGACCGAATATATTTCTGTCAAAGTTTCTCTGACCAGCTCTACTGATTGGACTGGTGTGCGGCCGGGGGGGCGGGGAACAGTATCTCATAATTCTGTGTTCCTGCTTCCTAATTTAGGCCTACCATGATACACAGAACGTGCGGTCTTGCTTGCACCATTTACCAACGTGAGAGTGTGAAAGAGTCTACACTTAGAGGCTGAGAAGCTATAAGAAGGTATTACTTACCTGCTTTAACTCATATATTCTTCCCTGCTCCTGTTAGATGCTTTTCTTGCTCCGCTCCTTTTTGCTGGTCCCTTGGCAATATCAGTTTAGATTTCCTTAGACAGAGAAGAAAATGGAGAGAGGATGCTGTGTTGGGGGAAGGGCAAGTTTCACGTTGATAAGCGAGTGAGAGTTTAAGTGACTATGAGACAATAAGTAGGTCTCGGCCATGTCTACATGCAGATGCTACCACCAGTTCAACTGAACGGATGTACGCATTAGCAGACTCCCCAGTGTAGGCAGGGACAGATTAAAGAATTTTGGAGCTGTGGGCACAATGGAAATTGCCACAAAATCCACTAAAACCCTTTGGCAAGCCATACGCGCCCCCCCACCCCTTCCAGAGGCTACATACTCTTCCATGGGACAACACCAGCTCTCACGGCACATATGCAGCAGCAAAAGCCTGAGCAGGCTTTGCTTCTAAAGAACCAGATCCCAGGGCAGGCCACAAGCTCCACATAGAGGATGCAGGAGCAACACAGTGAGATCAGGAAGGTGCAGTGGGGGTGGGGGTGTAGAGGGGAATTTGTCCCTTCCAGTACATGAGGTGATGAGTCATACAAAGTGATCAGGCAGCCACAGGTGGCCCCAGGGCTGCCAGCTACTCATCCATTTTTTTTTCCCAGTGGTTGGAGTCCCTTCTGAGGTAGGGCCCCCAAACAAGTGCACATTGGTTAATCCAGGCCCGAGTGTAGGCAGTGCTCAAGTGGTTTGCAGTGTTTTTAACTAACCTGAAAAGTATTTAAGCCTCAAGCCATCAGAGCCACAAATATAAGGGCTCTCACCTCCCTCCTGTTCATGCTCTCTGTATGTGTGTATATATATATCTCCTCAATATATGTTTCACTCTATAAGCATCCGAAGAAGTGGGTTGTAGCCCACGAAAGCTTATGCTCTAATAAATTTGTTAGTCTCTAAGGTGCCACAAGTACTCCTGTTCTTTTTGAGGATACAGACTAACACGGCTGCTACCCTGAAAGCTACCCTGAACTGGGAGTAGCAGCAGTTGGAAATTTTTTGTAGAATTCCCTCATGCAGACAAGGATCAAGCTGGTCTAACACATACCTTGATGTGTCTGGAGTAAACTACAACTTAGATTACTTCTAAACTTACTTGTGTCTGAATTTGGCCCTGTGTCGACTTTCTCTCTGCAAAGTACCTATGGAACTGTAGAATAATAAATAATCATGATTATAATAAGACAAAAAGTTGCAGAGTTCAGAAGTTGTATACAATATTGCAAGGGGCTCATTTCCGGCTAACCTACTGTATATCTTTGTAATCACAACTGAAAGCCACCATAAATGCAAGCACATTCATCTCTCTTAATTGATCTCCATGCATTTTATTTCTTTGCTTTGGAAGTAGGCCAAAACTCCTACACATTGGCATAGCATTAATCCAATGTAAGACTTAGCTCTCATTGAAAAAGCCTTTAATTTGTCTGAGACACCAATGCTAGACTCTGTGGTCCTCGTCTCAAATGTCCATGTATACAGAGGGTCTCTCCAGGTTAGAATAATCAGTTCTTTCTAGGGAGTTCCTCTCTATTTCTCTCTGTTGGTGGTAGTTGATGGGTCTATTTATTTTTATTGATAAGTCTCCATGCACCTTGTATGTTTGGTATAATTATCCCAAACTGTCCCGAGGATTGATGGGGCTGTGTAAAGTATTATAGCTTAGACCCTAGCCAATTCCTCCTCCATCTCTGACTAGGTCTCTCCAGCTCTGTGTATCCACAACACACTTGACTGCCTCCTGTCTTCCTGCAACTGGCCTTCAGCGTGTGGCCACATGCCTGGTCACCTACTGATGACAAAGACCTCTTTCTACCAGTAAGGCCTGGTCTACACTAACCCCCCAATTCGAACTAAGGTACGCAACTTCAGCTACATGAAAACGTAGCTGAAATTCGAAGTACCTTAGTTCGAATTTACCTCGGTCCAGACGCGGCAGGCAGGCTCCCCAGTTGACTTCGCGGTACTCCTCTCGCCGAGCTGGAGTACCGCAGTCGACGGCGAGCACTTCCGGGTTCAACTTATCTCATCCAGACAAGACGCGATAAGTCGAACCCAGAAGTTGGATTTGCTTGCCGCCGAACTACCAGGTAGTGTAGACCTACCCTAAGCCAGAGGGCTGAGCTAAAGGGGAGCAGAAGGCAGTTTGGGGATGGGGATGAAATCACTGGCCCCGGAATTAGACAGGACTCTGGATGAGGAATCAAGGATGGCACTCTGGCTGGTGAGTTGGGTGTTTGTGTGGAGGCAAAAAGAACAGGAATGCTTGTGGCACCTTAGAGGTTAACAAATTTATTTGAGCATAAGCTTTCGTGGGCTACAGCCCACTTCTTCGGATGCAATGAATGGCCCAACGCTGACATTTCATATCAATAGTCTCTTCAATATGTTTATTCACCATACCTTGATTCCTTTATTTATTTTATTACATTAAATAACTTCCCAGGATGCTCTCAATCAAAAGGAGTGTGTGTCAAGGGATGGGAAAATTCCCACTGAGGAAGAGGGATGGAAAACATTTGTTTCTTTCTTGTTTTATTTACATGTACAAAATTACAGCAAGGGGGTACATGGAAAATCCAAGATGAAGACAGGCAATGGGTATATGTCTTTTTAACTCTTGTTTTCTTTACTAAATCTCATATTGACTTTTTATGCCAGCCTTCTACTGCCCAGGAGCAATGGCAGAACTCAGTGTTTTTCAATGTGTCAATATTTAGTCTGTATCTGATTTTTCCTCCTCTTGTGACAATGTGTTGAATGTCACTTTAAAATTCAAAATGAAGAAGGCAGTAAAACCATACAATTGACGATGGTTGACGTCGTTTCTTTATCCAAAAGGGAAAACATGTATGTACAAGTAAAGGAACTTCTTAGTTGTGGTAAGCAGTGGTCTTACATATTTGGTAAATGTTGGTAAATGTCCATCTTGCAGTATGCACACAAACCAACCAAAAATATTTCTATCTATGATAATTGAAATTTACAGATAGGCAATGTAAGCAAAATGTTGCTTGAGAACTTATTAGAGTTTGATTTAAGGATCTTTACTTTGCATATTTTTACATGTGACGTTGACCATTTGTGTTTTAATGGTTAGAAAGCTTTAACTTTTTGAATCTTAACGTCTACTGTCATTTCATAATTATAGTCTGAGCCTCCCCATAATTTCCCATAACTCTTTTAACATTTGAATTGATAAAAATAAAAAACAGATGAAACCACAGAATTTTGCTCAACTGTGAAAAGTTAAATCAATACAAATTTTAAAAATGCTTAAAAATAAGCATCAATATTATCCATCTAAATTCTAAAAAATAAAAATGAATTCTGCCAAGCACACCAATATTCTTTGATAAAGTCAGTCTGACTCGGATTATAATGAGATGGTTGGTTTGGTTGGGTCAGGTCATTTTTTGATGTCGTGAGTAAAACAAACAAATAAAAAGCAGGCTCTCACCTCTATTTTAGTGGAAAATTTCCAATGTTTTTAGACCAGGGGCACCTGCATAACATTTAATTTTGTGGACTCCGTTGATAAACTGTTGGGAATTCTTACATCCTGTACTTCCATTCCACCCTTGAATCTTCCAAGTGGGTTATAATTAATAGTAAGAGAATGGAGGAAGACAAAATGAGTGTATCTATGCCTTCTGTATCATTACAGTATGACACCTCTGACCTATCGTCTTAATCGTTAAGATGGAAAGTACAGCCTGAATCATCCAAATCGGTCATACTCCCCATTTTTCCTAAAAGGTCATATTTCTCTTCCCCATCTTTTATTTTGTTACATGTTCTTGATTACCTGAAACCTCACTTGTCCAGTTTATCTCGCCTCCATAGCATTTGAGAGATGGAGACTTCAGCAGCCCTGATCAGTGATACTTTTCCCATCAATGAATATGCAATTTATGTGAGAAGTAAATGGGACCAATTCTAGCACATTGCAGTCCTACTGCGATTTAGGCTATTTGGTTGCCTACCACTTCTCTTATAATCATTCATTCAGTTTCTTGCACCCCACTAGAGGCGGCAAGGTGCAAAAGAAGCAGACAAAGGAGTAAGGGAAAGAGTGGAGGGCTTAGATGGCAAATTTAAATGCAGGCCAGCAGACAGCTCCAGAAAGTCCTTGCTGGCAATTCAAGCATCAGGAGCACTGCCAGAAGATAAAGTGCAGTGCAGCTAACTCACTCCACCCTATTATTATTGAAGACCTATTGACTGTACTCATAGGCTTTAAGGACAGAAGAGCCCATCATGATTATCTAGTCTCACCTCCTGCATATTGCAGGTCAGAGAACCTCGCCCACCCATTACTATATAGCCCATAACCTCTGGCTGTGTTACTAACATCCCCAAATCTTGATTGAAAGACTTGAAGTTACAGAGAATCCACCTCCCATTCTACTGTAGTTCAAACCAGCAAGTGATGCGTGCCCCACACTGCACAAGGCAAAAAACCCCTAGAGTCTCCACCAGTTTGACCTGAGAGAAAATTCCTTCTGACCCCAAATATGGGGATCAGTTAGACCCTGAGCGTATGGGCAATACTCACCAGTCAGACACCTGGGAAAGAACTCTATGTAGTAACTCAGAGCCCTCCCCATCTAGTGTCCCCATCTCCAGCCATTGGAGGTATTTGCTAACAGCAGTCGCAGATGGGCCTTTAGTGGGAGCATGATTAGGCCTTTGCTCTCTATGTGGTCTGGTTAAGTGAGGAACATGCAGATAACATTGTCTTCCTGTTGGGGCTACTCCCAGCCCAGAGCACTGCTGCCTCTGTCAGTTTCACAATGCACGAGAACCAGCCCGGGAAAGAAAGTAGTCACCATTTATTTACTATGGCTTTGTCTACACTACCACTTTTGTCGGTAAAACTTTTGTCAGTCAGGGGTGTGGAAAAAACACCCCCCCCCGCTGGACGGAATTTTCACCAGCAAAAGTGGTCGTGTGGACAGCGCTATGTCAGTAGGAGACATAGCTAACCTCGCCCGTTGGGGGTTGTATAATTATGCAGGCAGGAGAACCCTCTCCTGCCGGCAAAGAGCAGCTACACAGGAGACCTTACAGCAGCACAGCTGCCGTTGCAAGGTCCATACTGTAGACATAGCCTATATCTTATGAGTGAGAGTCATCTGGTTTGGGCCTGCTTCCAGGATCATCTGACCATTCCGTACAAGAAAGGAAAGCCACGATTTTTAAAGGGCAGTAAAGGCATCATTTTTAAAGGAGATAATTTTCCTGTGAGTTTTAGTGCTAGGTGGAGCAGCTCCTTTGGTCATATAATACAGTCTTTATTTTGTTCTTCATAACATGTATCAACCGAACCATGCTCTAATAGTCATGTGCCTCGCCACACAGACTCTCAGACTTTTTCAGCAGTAGTTGACAGGTAGCGGCTGTGCATGTTGCATGCGAGCAAGAGACTGCAATGCTCCAGTGCCTCCATGGGCACCCTAGGATATCCCCCCCTCCCCTCAGTAACTGTTGGAAAACAACCAAAACTTCCCACTTTCAGTACCTTAAAATCATCTCTTTGGCTAGCTACCCACATTTCAGTGTCTTAAAATATCAGTCTGTGGCCAGATAACTACATTTTTACTATTTCCAAAACTCTTAGGTGCTCACACTTTGTATTAGATCATTTAAACCAAAGAGGATGTTGCCTAGAAAATATTGTCCAAAATTGTTCAGTATCTATAAATCTACAATATGCGGGCACCAATTTATGCAACAGCATCTTCAGCAAATTCAAACGGTCACTTACCTTAAGGTAGCACCTAAAGTCTACAACTGACAGCAAGGTTCTATTACGATAGTTGCTGTATGTACATGCAGTGGGAGACAGCCCTTAAGAATTTACAATCTAAAATAGACGAGACAGTGTGTGTTAAACAGAAGTATGGAGGGGTGACGTGACTTGCGCACAGTCACACAGCACATCAGTGGCAGAACCAGCAATAGAATACAGGTCTTCTGACTCTTGGGCCAGTGTATACATTTTGTGGGGGGTCTACCAACTAGATCTCTCCAGTGTATACATTTTGTGTGGGGTCTACAACACTGTTACCACTCTATTGATTTCCATAGTTACCATGTTAAAGTGAGTAAATTGAGACGATATCAACATATTAGTAATTTGAGGTGTCATGTTCAATGAAAGACCAACTATTTACTACAGTACTTTAGGACATGATCCGGAAAACCCTTAAGGGACCTTACCCCAGTTGAGAATTGTTTAAGGGAGCACTGGGCTGTGTTCTGTTCATGGCGTACACACAGAGAGTCAGAACAAATACTCTTCCTGAAAGGCTGCAGTATAACATTATTTTATTTCACAGAATCCAGAAATCTAACACACAACATCCAAATAGAGAGAGGGAGATCTGCTACCGAAGGCAAAGAGGTCCAACTCAACTTACCTTGTTCCAGACAACTCTTTTGCTGACTGAAATATGAGCACCCAGATCACAGGCTTCCTTCAGTGTCCCTTAGCCTGCAAGCAGGACCAGGAAACCCCTGAGAATTTAAAGTGATAGCTTGTAATTGTAACAGTTTTCAATACACTACAGTGGCCCCTTCCCTACTCCTGCTATGCTTCCTTCTGCTAGGAGAATTCTCAACTAGCCAGCTGTGCACATTCATACCACTCAGGCAATGCAAAGGGGACTGAACTGGGGTTGAAAATTTGGCCCAAAGAACCTATTTTCCCATAAAATAGTAATGAAGAATCAGTTTCAAAGTTAGTGTAAGGGAAGCTTGGAAAAATGTTTAAGAACATTTTTAGATTAATGTAAAGTTCCAAACCAATTCAAATTTCCCCAAAACTCTTCCTCCCCAAAAGGCTGCATTGCAGAACTTTCCTTGCACAGCTACGTAACTGATTTTTCCATTCTTCTAATGGCGAGGCATTTTCTTTCACACTTACTATATCAACATCTAACCAGGGCTCTACTGGAAAGTATAACTAAAATGGGAGTACCTGCATAGGAAAAACAGCCTCATTCACTAAATCCTGTAAAGTGGCCTTTTATGAGGTTACTAATAAAAGTTAAGCATTCACTTTTTCTACTTAATGCTTGTCTAATGAAAGACCACATTCCTGTCAGTCTTAAGTTGTACTCTTAAGAATCTTTGGGGGCTGATCTACTGCGGCACCTGGGGCAATGCGCCAAAAAAATAGAATAAAGTCATAGTAAAATACATGTACCTTCATGCCCATTCTGCATGCCAGCGGCAGCTCTGAATTAAACAGAATAGCTCTTTCAGATGAAAGATCCCCATGGGGCAATTATGCATAGCAGCAGGCCTTTTTTTGAAAAGCCAGGGAAGAACACTGAATAATACAAACTCTTCAGTAATATGGAATGTTGTCAACTCTCCAATTTTAGTGCAAATATTGTGATATTTGGTGCTTTTCTTAAAGCCCAAGCTTCTGGATTCATGTCATTCTGAGAATCTCATTTTTCATTAAAAAAAAAAAGTTTCTAGCCCTCATGGTTGAGGACAAAAGCTTGAAAATCAAACCCACGTGCCCTGAAGTCTCAAAAACTGGAAGGCAAATAAAAAGCACTCCATTTTTAATTTTTTGTAAGTCATGATTTTTATGCCAATCATGATTTTTGAATGTTTGGGGCTGGCAGTGCTGAATAAAGACAAATTAGAATTCTCCACCTACAGTGTTAACCTAGAGCTGCCATTGGTTTCATATTTCTTTTCATAAAACAGGGGTTTTCAGTCTCGTGTCTTGGTCCTAAATAATGCCTATGAGAACTTTCACGATTTCATACTGCCCTCTCTGTGCACCAAAACTTCAAATTTGTGTTTTGCTTACTTCTTATGAAATTCATCCTGATTTCCAGAAATTGCTAAACCATTCCTTACACCTTAAGTTATTCGTGAAAAGTGATATTTTATGTTAATTTCAATGTAATTGATTTTCCTTGAGAGCACATTAGATTGTGCCAAAACTAGGTAGATTTATTAAAAATTCTATGGGGAGGATGCCCTCTTACAAAGAGATTTATTCTCTTCTAAGCAATTCGGTCAATAACTTCTGATCGTCCAATAAGTTATCACCCAGGCCACCTGGCAACTATCAGAAGAAGCCTTGTGTAAATCCCAAGGCTGCTCCTTCACATCAGCACCAGGAAGGCTGAAGGGAAAGTGTAACATTTTGGCAAAGTCATCTACGTCCATATTTTTTTTTTTAAATGAATCATCTTTATTCCATCATATTGTGCACTAGTCTTTAATGAAGAGCCACAATCTTATTGATGTTGACTATGTCATTTCTTCCGCCTGTCTTGTTACCTCCCCGTCCTGTTGCCTCATGCATGAAATTGCCTTGTAAGCTCCTTCAGGTAAGGAACAGGTCTTCTCATCCGTACTGTGAGGCACCTAGCACACTTGAGTGTTGTAAAATAATAAATACTAATAATTACCCAGTGTTTGCAAGGAGCCATGAATTTTGTAAAAGAAAGAAAAAAAAAGATAAGGAGTCTCTGAGCTCAAGAAATTTGTTTACTCTTCACTTCTGAACTATGTAATTTTATATGTACAATAGTTTAAATATCAATAAAATGTTAGTTTAAAATGCTGGACAGTTTCCTCATTCTTGTCTCTGCTTGCAAGGTGAACTTTTAGTAAACATTGCTGCAAGCTGGTCTTCACCTCCATGCCTACTTTAATGGAATTATGAATCACATGTCCTCTCAAACATTATCACAACAATGGATAACAGAACGTTAATGTGTACTGGAAAAAGACTAACTAAAAACTGTTAAGAAAAGGAACAATCTAATAGAAATACAGGAAAGAAGCGAAGTCAAGTGTGTTTGCTGAAGAATTAAATTGTGTGCAAAGCTAATAAAACTAACTCAAACTAACTGTTCAAGTCAAAATCTTGTTCTCTTAAAATGAAGTCACAGGTTTTACAGCTACTAAACTTCCATGCACTCTGGCTGGCCTCACAGCATAACGGATCATATGTGCTTTTCCCACAAGAGACAGAATGTTCTGATCTGAATGATTGGCTCCTTTAGAACAGGAGGAGGAGTGGTGGTGGTGGTGGCAGAAAAGGGAAATGCAGCATTTCTTCAACCCAAGGGGAAACATTTAAATGAATTCAACATGCACAATCCCCTGCACAGCATTAACATTCCAAAATAGGAAAGTAGACAAAACTTGGCAGAGACATGCATATGATAAATAAATAAATAATCGAATTCCAACAAATGTTAAAGAAACTTACCTATGCAACATGTAGCTCTCAGCTACAGAAGCCCGGCAGTTTCTATAGGTGTTACAATCCTGACAGACCACAGCTTTAAATAACTCCTGCCTCCAAATTTCCCAACAGAAGTATTGTTTGTAGGAAACACATGACAATAATAGTTTTAGCTAATGACAGTAAATTCAGAATAAGGCTCAAGACCTCATTTGTGTCTCACCAGTTTTGCACCAGTGTAACTTCACTGACTTAAATGGAGTTACCTTTGATTTAGACCAATGTAAGATGAGAATTGGGAACTGTTTTTTGTTATACAATGTGTTGATTTTTTTCAAGCTAAACTTCTAGTATCAGAAATATAACGTTTGTCTAAAATCATTACCTTACTCATAACCTGGGGCATGTTACTGAAAACATGGAAGGTTTCATGACTCTAGGTTGCTTAAAACGGTCCTCATTCTGCCTAAACTTGATTAGGATCTGTTCTACCTATAAAATCCCATTCACTTGAATGCTTGTACAGGTGTCTATAAAAAGGTGGTAGAGAAGAAGACAGTTTGGCAAACTGGAGTCTGATTCTGACTCAGCCCCTTAGTCTGGAAGTTTTCCTTGCAATAGGTGAGTGGGTCACAGTAGTCAAGGAAGGTAGAGAAGGTCAATAACTGTTACAATAGAGAAGAGGGAAGAGAGGGCAGGAGTAGGGGACTTAGAGCAAATCTATACTACGGATGAGTAGTATAGATGTTGACAGATTAGAATTTATGAAGCGCTGAATAACGGGCCAAGGAAGAGAGGGCGGGTGAACAATGCTAAAAGAGACACAGTGGTAGTCAGATAGGGAATTCAGCAATGGAAAGTGAGCGGGAGAGCTGATCCAGGGTCGCAAGGTAAGCTAAAGAGAGGAAGTGAAGGAGAAAGGAGGCTAGTGAGTCAGGTAGGAACTTTATCTGTACAAAGTTCTAAATTATACAGTTTCATTCTTTTATAAGGCCCTAATATCACAGAAAATCTTCATTTTTGCTCCCTTGGACAGTCTGTGTATATCAGCAGGAATCTATTATGTGAAAGGATCAGGGCACAAACAAAAAATGTCCTCATTCTTATTTGTAGGACAGGGATTCTGAAGCCTATTGCATATACAGGTCTATAAAAGACACTGAAGCATACAACATTTACGTTTTTTTGTTTTCCTCTGTGATTGGATGATTTGTGTGTTTTTCAACATGGTCAGTGATATGTCAACAAACTTAAGACTGGAGGTGTGCAACACCTCCCAAGGCCCCACTATAGCAACGCCTCTGGCTCTGAAACCGAAGTTTGGCACTAAGATTGCTCTCAACTTGAATAGAGAATGTTAGGCATGAAACCTCTGCATTTTGGAAACATATTTGCCTCAGAGAACTTTGGGACTCCATGATTCTCTGAAAAAAGAGGCAACAGTGTGTCCAAAGCTGCCAAATGCCTCAATACCACAGGGTACCCAGAATTATATATAATGGTTTGGAGTCTAAAGTCCCTGAGTATGACTACAGCTCAAGCACGCTACCTATAGCTACCCTAATGAGTGTGGGAACAAGGGAAATGAAGCCCTATTCATGTGGAGAAGGCCAAGGGCTTCAAATTTTGTTAGGAGGTGATTTCTTGGTGAAAAATCACTTTTTTTTTTTATTCAGAGCCACAGTGGAGACTTCTAGTAAAGGAAATTTTGGGAGAACCAAAGATGTTGCTGAGATGATCAGGAGACTACAATATGTGGGGAGTTCCTTTGTAGCTTAGTCACAGGAATTGATCACTGGGGATATGTTGGTCACACAAAATGCTTCCTCAGTGGTTTAAAAGGTATAGAACCCGTAGAATTGTGCGTTTCTTCCAGACCCACATAAAGGTTCACAGTAGGCCTGTCAAGCATTAAAACAATTAATAGTGATTAATCGCGCAATTTAAAAAAATTAATCACGATTAATCACACTGTTAATAATAGAAAACCATTTATTTAAATATTTTGGATGTTTTCTACATTTTCAAATATTTTGATTTCAATTACAACACAGAATACAAAGTGTACAGTGCTCACTTTATATTTATTTTTATTACAAATATTTGCATTGTAAAAACAAAATAAATAATATTTTTCAATTCACCTAATACCAGTGCAATCTCTATCATGAAAGTTGAATTTACCAATGTAGAATTATGTACAAAAAATAACTGCATTCAGAAATAAAACAATGTAAAACTTTAGAGCCTAGAAAGTCCCCTCAGTCCTACTTCTTGTACAGCCAATTGCTCAGACAAACAAGTTTGTTTACATTTGCAGGAGATAACACTGCCCAATTCTTGTTTACAAGGTCATCTGAAAGTGAGAACGGGGGCATCACAAGATATTTACGTGCCAGATAAAGATTCATCTGTCCCTTCATGCTTCAACCATCATTCCAGAGGACATCCTTCCATGCTGATGACGGGTTCTGCTAGATAATGATCCAAAGCAGTGCAGACAGACGCATGTTCGTTTTCATCATCTGAGTCAGATGCCACCAGCAGAGGGTTGATTTTCCTTTTTGGTAGTTCAGATTTTGTAGTTTCCGCATCACAGTGTTGTACTTTTAAGACTTCTAAAAGAATGCTCCATACTTTGTCCCTCATATTTTGGAAGGCACTTCAGATTCTTAAACTTTGGGTCGAGTGCTGTAGCTATTTTTAGAAATTTCACGTTGGTACCTTCTTTGCATTTTGTCAAATCTGCAGTGAAAGTGTTCTTAAAATGCAACAGAGGGTCCTGTGGCACCTTAGAGACTAACAGAAGTATTGGGAGCATAAGCTTTCGTGGGTAAGAACCTCACTTCTTCAGATGCAAGACTCACTTCTTGCATCTGAAGAAGTGAGTTTCTTCCCCACGAAAGCTTATGCTCCCAAT